GTCGGGGGCCTGGGTGATGTGTGAGCACAGTCCCCTGCAGGGCGGGAGTCGGGGGCCTGGGTGATGTGTGAGCACAGTCCCCTGCAGGGCGGGAGGCTGGGGGCCTGGGTGATGTGTGAGCACAGTCCCCTGCAGGGCAGGAGGCTGGGGGCCTGGGGACTTGGGTGAAGAGGGTGGGATTGTGCCAAGCCTCTGCTTTGTCCCCTCCGTGGTGACGGGACCCTCCACTGGGGCCCCTGACCTTTAGGGGTTACGAGCTAAGTCAGGCCGGGTTCCGCTGACCCGCACGCTGACCCGGGGGCCCCGTTGTCGGGTGGAATGGCAGCGCCCCCAGGTTCCGCCCGCTGCCCGGCACCCTGTCCACTCTTGTCCGTAGCAGGTGGAGGCACTCGTGCCCTCCGGACCGGCTCTGCCATTGCACACTGCCCACCTCGACCCGAGTGTCGTGTTCCCACAGGAGGTACAGCTCGCACAGCGACTGTCAGTCAGGTGAGCATGACCTGGTCCCTCCCCCTTCGGGCCACTTTGGGTACAGGGGCCACTGGGTGGGCCATGCTGGTCACTCTGGGCTGCGGCCGAGGTGACACTGACCCTTAATCCCGATGGTGAGCCAGGCTCCGACAGGCCTCCCACGGCTCCATGGGGTGTGGGTGCTGCCCGTGGTGCCCGTGTCCACGGGCGGAGGCCGAGGTCAGATGGACACCTTGCCGAGGGCCTGGCCGCTCCCTCGGATGCCCCTCTGTGTGGTGCTGGACTGAGGGCTTCACCTCTCCTGCCTGTGGAGACTCCGGAACATGCAGCCGGGTGATGATCGTCCATCCTGAGGGCCGGGGCGGGGGCACAGGGCCTCCCCCAAAGTAGCCCTGTCCCTGCTTCTCGAGAGGCGGCGCCACGCCGGGCCCCAGTTCTGGACACTCTCCAGGACCTCAGGTCCCAGCAGCCAACGTGCGCTTTCCCTGTGAGGGGAAATGTGGCCCCCCTCCTGGTGCCCGGCTCAGATCTGTGAAACCTGGTTCCTCCCCCGAGACACGGTCTCACAGCACAGAGGCTGCTCGAGGTCACACATGTAGTCCTCTCCCCAAACCCACCCACCCTGGTGGTGGTGTCTATGCTGATTCACCAGCCAGAACCAGTGAGGTTTTGTAGGATGGGGTCCCTGTGGGAGTTGGGTCTCCTCTGAGGGACCGGGCATTACCTGGTCTGTGGAAGCTCCCGGAGGCTCGTGCCAGGGGTCTCTGGTCTCCAGACCCCTGCAGTAGGGACGTCCTGGGTTAGTGCAGCCCAGGGAGGAACTCAGAGGGCAGGAGCAAAGGGGTGTCTGTGGGGGAGCGCCCCGAACGTTCTCTTAATCTGTGGCGGTTTCCCAGCTCCCACCGTCAGGGTCCCGGGGCTGAGATGTGGGAAGCGGCTCTGAGAGCACATTTTCTTAACATCCCGAATCCTCAAACTCAGCTGTGAAAGTACACACTTCAGTGGGTTTTAGAGTGTTTACAAGTTGTGCAACCATCACCACTGTTTCCACGACATTTCACCGCCCTGAACAGAAATCTCTGGCCCATCAGCAGATTCCCGCATTCTCCCTCCCCTGGCCCCTGGTGACCACCAACCCACTTTCTGTGTCTGTAGATCAGACTATTCCGGACATTTCAGACACATGGAATCCTGCAATACGGGTCTTTTGCGACCGGCTTCTTTCCCTCAGCAGCATGTCCATCCTGGTTGTAGCATGGATCAGGATTTCACTCCTCTCTCTGGTTGGATAATAGTCCATTGCGTGTATGAACCACATTTTGTTTATCTGTTCCTCTGTCCATGGACACTTAGACTGTTTCCACCTTTTTGCTTCTGTGAGTGGTTCTTCTATGAAGACACATCTGCAAATATTTGCTTGAGACCCTGTTTTCACTTCCCTTGGGCGTATACCTGGGAGTGGAATTGCTGGGCACGTGGTACCTCGATGTTTAACTATGGAACTCGCAAACTGTTCTCCACAATGGCTGCACCTTTTGACATTCCTGCTGGCAGCCCAGGAGGCTCCCGTTCCCCCACATCCTCGCCCACCTCATTCTTTCCCCTTACTGGTAGTGGCCAGTCCAGGGGTGGGCAGTGGTGTCTCGCTGTGGTTTGGGTCTGCATTCCCTGGTGGCTGCTGCTGTTGAGCATCTTCTCTGGTGCTCGCTGGCCGTTTGTACATCACATTGGAGAAACATCTGAGTCCTGTGTCCACTTTCTAATGGGGTGATTTGTCTCTTTGTTGTGGAGTTTTGAGTTTTTGTATGTTGTGTACACTGGGTCCCTCATCAGATCGGTGACTCGCACATATTTTCATTCCTTGTGGGTGGTGTTTTCACTTTCTTAATGGTGTCATTGGAAGCACAGAAGTTTTTAATTTTGATAAAGTCTAGTTTAGTGGTTTCTTTTCTTTTGTTGCTCGTGCTTTGGTGTCTAAGAGCAGGACTGGGTTCCCAGTGTGCCAGCAGGAAGCCCCTCCTCAGCCGGCAGCCACACGCGCCTTTGCTCAGTACCACCCTGGGCCAGGAGTGCACACACTGCGCTGCCAGTCAGCAGCTCATCTGAGCCCCGGATCCACCTTCTGGCTCCTCATAAAGCTTCTGAAGAGAACTGTAATCTCATGAGGACAGAAGTCCCAGGGGCTGGGAAGGTAGCCTGTAAGCAGGACTGTTAGAAAGTGTGAGTGGGAACCTATGATCCGCCAAGCCGGATGCCACCCGCCCTGGCTACGGGTCTTCACCACTCTCTCATCAGATGGACTGGGGAGCTGCCAGCAAGGAGCAGGCGGGTGTGTGCTCTGAAGCTTTGGTTGGTAGAGTATAATATTTGGATTTTTTTGTCTTGCATATTAGACATGCAGGAAGACCTGGAGACCCTGCTGGCCTTGGAAAGAGCAAAAATAATTGCCCAATACGATCAGGTAAGGCCCAGGAGGAGATCCTAGCTCTAGGAGCAGGTGAGGCCCAGGCGGGGACCACAGTCAGCAAGAGCAGGTGACGCTCTGGTGGGGTCATAGGCAGGATCAGGCGAGGCTCAGGTGGGGTCATAGGCAGGAGCAGGCGAGGCTGAGGTGGGATCATAGGCAGGAGCAGGGACGTCCCAGGGTGGGTCATAGCCAGGTGTGAGCAGGTACAGCCCAGCGGGAATCACAGGCAGCAGGAGCAGTTATGGCCCAGGTGGGGGTAGAGCTCCAGGAACAGGGGGTCCCGGGGGGATCTCACAGCAGGAGCAGGTGAGGCTGTCAGGCTGCTCCCGTTCGGGCAGGCGGGTCCTTCCCCTCAGGCTGTGCCCGTGGCCACAGGTTCCAGGGCTCCCTCAGGATGCAGGGGAGGGAGGACCACCCTGCTCCCTCCTTGTCCCCAGGTCCCCGGCTCTGGGTCCCTCACCCCTGTGCCCCCTCTGGGTTGCAGGGACGCCAAGCAGGGGCTCCAGCGGCTCCTCAGGAAGACCCTGACCTCGCCCTGTACAAGGTCACAGACTGCCTCGGGTTTATGCGGTGAGTCATCTGGACACCCCTCCTGAGAAGGGGTGTCCATCTCTGGGATGGTTTCTGTTTGTGGAAACACTTCTCTGGAGGCAGGACCCGTCTCCCCAGCTCAGAACCTCGTCCCCTGGTGCCCACCGCAGTCCAAGGTTTGCAGTCGGCTTGAATTGAGACCCGGAAGGTGACTTGGGGAAGTGGTGACGACGAGAGAGGGGTGAAGTCAGGGACAGGAGGGTGGGCGGCCGGGGCAGAGGGAGGCGGTCTCGATGCTGGACAGTCAGACCCTGTGTGGGGCGTGGAGACCTCGGCAGGATGAGCACAGGGTGCACCCCGGGGCCGTGGACAGTTCTCAGGCCGGCTCAACCCCAGGACAGTGGCGGGTCACCTCCTGAGGGCTGCTGTTGAGGCACAGCCCACCACTGTGCCAGCACCGACCCTTCTCGGGCCCCCGTGGAGGACGCCTCCTCCAGCCACAGGCACCTGGCCGCCCTGCCCTCCCTCTGCCCCCTGTCCTTTCTCCCTCCAGAGAATCCTGGGCCCAGACTTGGGGGCTCTGGGCGGCGGGCCTGGTCCCTCCCTGGCCCCGGCCTGGTGCAGGGCCTCAGGGCTCTGCTTCTCTTGCCTTCCAGTGAGAAGGAGCTGCCCAGCCTCACCACCCAGGAGGCGAAGGTAAGAGCCCCTCCTTGCTGCACAGGCGGGAGGCGGCCGTGGGCGTGAGGCCATGGTCCTGCCACCCCCGACCCCAGAGCTGTCCTGAGTCGGGGGAGATTACCAAACCCACACGCAGCTCAGAGGTCACTGCCTGCTGGCCACCAGGACCCCACCTCGAGGCTGGGACCCGGTGGAGGCCAGCGGGTCTGTGGGAGAGGGTCTCGCCTTTTCTGGCCCCTTTGA